AAAACCAACACCATCTGGCTGACCCACACGACATCGGGGACGAAGCCAGCTTCTACACAACAACAACAACACACGCAAAGAAGAGAAACACATTCAGTCAAGCACAAAGGCACCAAAAAGCACAGTGCCTACAGCAACATCAAATCCTCCTCAATAAATGCAAAATTATAAGCTATCAGCTGAGGTAAGGGTTAAGCTTTGATTCCCTCTGAGACCACGTGTCCTAAAGATGCATGTTCTTATGCAATTTCTTCTTCTTCTGCTGCAAATATACACCAAACTGCACATTCTACCATGTGCTTCTTTTTAACAGCGTTGAAGGGCCATAAATGAACAAATCAAGCTTGTATCACCGACTATATTTCTCAACCAGCTGTATACGTGTTCCAAGCCTGGTCTCAGATACGTTTTTCATCTCTGACATGAAAGACGTGATGAAAACAACAACAGGAATGTTTTCCCCCTAATTATTTACACCTCTCATAAACATTATGCAGCACATCCAAAATAGAACATGCTTTTAATTTTCCAAAAAATTGCACAATCACTTTTAATTTTTTTAATTTTTTTTTTTTTTATTGTGAGTTTGGCTAATTTGAAAAAATAAAAAAATAAAGATCCTCCAGCAGATATATACAAACTGGCACAATGTCAACTGAAACAAGCTCGGGGAGTTTGAAGGGATGCCCGTAGTAAATTACTTATAGGTCTGACAATGGAGGCAAAATGCCATAGAACCCTAAAACGCTTCAGAAAAAAAACGAGTCACTGTGAAAAGTTCAGTAATGCAGCCCAGGAATGCCCCCCTTGAATTCCAAACAAGAACATTTGGCTCTTGCCAAAGTTTAAGTGGATGAGTTCAGTCACACATATATATTTCATGAGGTTAATGGGCCCCATCAAACTGTGATTAGAGATTCTTCTGGGAGGCTTTTATGCCAGACTGACAACTAGGATGGCTGGGCCAGATCTCGCAGTCATTAACAGGTCACAAACAATGATGCCGCATGTGACATTTCCTGCCGCTGTATATGAAACGCTGGTAAACTTAACCTTTGACCCGCAGCACTGGCCCAACAAAGAGCACACATAACGCTTTAGTCAGCTTCCAGAATTTCATTGCTCTGGCTCCACATTGTGGGAAATTCTACGCACCATACACCATAATAAATAAGCTACAGACATCGCGACCAAAACTCTGCCAAAAGCTTTATTGAATGATTAAATGCACCACACATGATGCATGCTTCTATAGAATTAATCTGGCTCTGTCTACACTTTATTATGATAATGACTTTTCATAATATTGAGTTCTAACTTATCCTTGGCAAGCAAACTGGCTGCAGTAACCTTAGAGCAGAGAGCTGGGTAAAGTGGAATCTCTTTTCCATGTGGTTGGTCTTTCTTTCCTTAATCCTCTCCACGTTTAGCATTATTATTATTATTTACTGCACTTACTGCATTTATCACAACACGAGCCTCACCGGCACACACGGCGCTGACGAAAGTGTCTCGGGATTTGACCTCAGCGATGTCTGAAATAGTTGCCACGTCCACCTTAGGAGACCCTCTGGGGAGGAGATTGAGAAGCATTTGGCTCAGAAAACCCTCGCAGATCTTTCGTGACAGTGACTGGGCCTATAAAAGTCTAAGTAATGGTTGTAATGAGCTCTCTTAGGGCAAGGTGAGGAGGTTATGTAAAAAGCACATACAGGGGTACTGTTAAGCCTGGTTTTAAAAAAAATATCTGCCTTAAATTTCGATTATATTCAAGCCTCCTTCACAATAATAAATAAATGGCTTAAATATGATACTGCGCTCTCTGAAGCACATCATATCCGTAGTAATTTAAAGCGACGGATTCTGTTGGGTCAGCCACAATGAATTAATCACATACGACACATTACTCTAATACCTGTACAGAATAAAGCCTTACCTAGAAATAAAGATCAATGTGACCTGTATTAAAATACCTAAGATGTGGTTCAATGCAGCCTAATTCAATTGAAACGCCATTAGATCTGCAAGCTGACAGTTCTATTGAACAATCACAGATTACAAAATGAGGCCACTTATAAAGAGGAACAAAGGACTTTCAGATGTATAAGAACATTGAGATGCAAAATCCAATATGCATAATAAATTCTATATCTGAATATCTAACATTATGTCTGCCCGAGCACTTTGCTAGACACGTGTATCAGACTAAAGCAGAACTCTTTTTCCTCTGAGTGAGACTGCATTTATCAAATCAGACTTTAGCCAACAACTTTTACAAATTGTTCTTTGTGAACTTTTTAATGTTTGTAATTACATTTCTTTAAACCAAGACTAGATATTGCAAGACAAATGAAAAGCTGCCTTTAACCAAAAGTAAAAATTTCCATCTTTTTGCAGCTAACCTCGATTACATCCATACTTTCTAAAATCACAGATGCTAATTATTATTTATTTATTTTCTACAAGATGTAGTTTTTCCATTCCATGACATGTATGTGTATGACAAGAAGGAGAAACTTCACTTTGACGCTGACAACTTACATATCACTGTACTCACCTTTTCAAAGTAAAAGCTCCGGCACAGATGTGTGTGAAGTTAAAGTGACTTCACATTAAACTTCGTTGGGCAGAACAACAGATTTATCAACAAGTAATAACAAAAGCAACCAAATTATATAGTAGGGCTGCTTTTTACATATCAGAAGTACCAGTTTTTGCAGTTGTCTTAAAATATGTGCTACAGATTATAATTGCCCATTATAATCTTTTATCTTAGAAATTCAGTATGAATTCTAACTTAATTTCAATAAACAAACAAAACATACAAAGTGTCCATCAGTAAACATGGACACCAGTATTCCTTGCATATTTTAGTTGCTGGCAGCAGAAATCCACTGTTCAGTGTTAAATTTGAGATGAAGTTATAACATTACCACTTTATTGTTTTGTTGTAGACTGTTAACACACAACACACTGAGATCATTATGTCTTGCTGCAGTGACAACAACAAATACTTCATCAACACTAAAGTGCAAACAAACAATCCAACTTTGGAAAAAACCCACAGTCCCACCAAAACAGCTGGTTAAAGCAAACAAGATGACAAGTGATTGCATATTTATGTCATTTAATTTAAGAAAATTTTCACAAAATTAAGCGATCTGTCAGACTATCGTGGATACTGGTGAGCTGCTGTGATGTTGTGATGCATCCAGATGGTGGCAATAATCATCTGAAACCTGCTGTGTTGAAAAATCAATTCAAAATGAGTCACATATATATTTATGTTATGTATTTGGCTGGTAGTTACGTAATGCATTGCATTTAGAGTTTGCTTTTGATGAGTTGAAATACTCAATAACTGTTTACGACACATGACCTATATTCAGTGCCTCAACACACATGTAAGTCACAGTAGAGGGATATAAAACACAGCACTGGATCCTGATTTGACCATGTTTTGACCCTACGCTCACAGTGGCTGACTGGTGATTAACCTGCTCACCTTGTCTGCCTCAGATCCTCCTCTTATGTACTGTTGTATGGCTGCTCTCTCAGCCTGTGAGCAAAGAGTCACGGGGTCATAAGCTGCCTTGGACCAATAAAATCACAGTTGTAAATTGGTTTGTGGCTTTTGAAATGAGTAATATTATTTTAAGGGAGGAATGGCTTTTGCAGATCTTCAGTCTGATGTTACAGTAAGAATATGTTGGTTGCATCTTTAGTGTCAAGAAAAATGTCTTTTGGAATTCTATGCATTTCTATTAGATGTTCAGAACTGACATAAAAAGAGAGACTCAGACTGTATGAAGACACATACAATCAAGACAAAAAAAGAAAACAACAGTAACAACAACAACAACAACAAATGTGTTTTGATAAAGTTAAACAAGATTGGTGTTCTGATTTCAAAGTGATTTGGTGTCCAAATAACATGTCTGTTCCAGCAGGTTTATCTAACAAGGACCTGTGGAAAATCACATATATTTAATTTATTTTTGTTCAGAGCTTTAATTTTTGTATAAACATGCTGCTAGATTCATAGATCAAATTATTGTTGGTCCAATCTGCTGCACGTTGAGCTCTTCTAGGAACAACCAGCTCCCCCTCCTCCCTTCAGTGGATGTAGTTCTGACTTGACTCCAGTAGATGGCCTCGTTCTCGAATAGATGAGCAAGGCCTGACTGAGCGGAGGAGCTTGTAAACTGTCCTCAGCTTTGCTGGATTTATGTAGAAAAAAAAAAACAAGTGCAAGAATTCATTTTTATGGTTTAAGTACACATTTTTAAAAGGTCAAGACGGTTATCTGCATTGTTTTTCCCCTCACTTGTCTAAGACCAACAAAGTTATTTTCCCATCTTACTATGGGAGATGATGTTGAGACCTGCTGAAAAACTGATATTAAAATAGTTGATTTAAAATCACTGGAAGCCATATGAACGTGTTAGAATAAGGGAGCATTCAGAGTCATTTCTTATCTGTGTGAATCAGTGCAAGACACTTGAACGATCTATGCATGTGATCATTTGGAATTAGAACCACATATTACCTTATATTCGATGATAAGCTTATTTAAATAAGAAAAATTGTAATGTGTGAGCTAGTTTAACTAAACAGACAGCTCTGGGATTTTTTTTTCTTCTTTTTATGTTGTTAGATGATAATAATGATGCCACCACCTGCAGTTTATATCAACTGCAAACTGAAGTCATTTTTTATTATTATTTTTTTTTTATCTTTATGAGAGCAAACAACATATCAACATCTGCATTCTGAGGCTTTTGTCATCCATACACATCTATGATTTCCAGGGTGGGGGGGTGGGGGGTGGGGGGGTGCAGCAGGGCGATTGGCGAATTCGGTGTCGACGTGATGACGTCACGAGCAGAGCGTGGTGGGGACCCTGCAGCCTCTTCGGCCCCCTCCAGTCCGGAGAGACACAAGTTATCAGGGAGGCAGCCGAAGGGCCAGTCATCTCCTCACATCTTTTCTGCATCTACCACAATCCCCTTCAGCCGTCCTGTATGGTGGATATTATTTTCAGCTCTTCTTTCTTGGGTGATATGGGGGATCATTCCAAAAGTAAGTATGAGCCGAGCTGTTCCGACAACTTCTTTTCTTTCTTTCTTTTTTTAAGTGGCAGATTTTTATTTTCGTCGCATAGATCAGTGCACCGATTGCTCAAGTCTATTTCTTAATAATATTGCGCAGTGTTATTTCTACGGTTGTGCGCATTGAAGGAGCTTTATAGTAACGAAACAAGTCTGTGTGTTTTTTTTTTTTTTTTTTTTTGCTTTATGATTATTGGCTAAAGTCTCTAGATGTTACATAACTGCAAAGGTTGAAGGGTTGTCCAGTCTGCAAAAAGAAGAGAAAAAAAGAGGAGCTCACTATAGATATATAAAAAAGAGAAAAACAAATGACTTTATGCTGCAGCTGTTCGTGATGTTCTCTCGGCTGCATGTTCAGTCTGTGCTGACAAGGCTGTGCGCGGCTCTTTGCAGAGAAGCCAGGATTCGCGATGTGTGTAGGATGTGGAAGTCAGATCCATGACCAGTACATACTGAGAGTCTCTCCCGACCTGGAGTGGCATGCAGCCTGCCTCAAGTGCGCAGAGTGCAGCCAGTACCTGGATGAGACGTGCACTTGCTTCGTCCGGGACGGAAAAACCTATTGCAAAAGAGATTATGTAAGGTAGGAGTTTGGAAAGCATTCCCTTTATAAGTTGAATTAAAATTTGTGTTTATAAATGTGAAGTTGGATGGATTTATTTAGCATGAGAATTATATTGTGAAGATTTAAATTAAAAACAAATTTGGGTAAAAAATACGCACAAAAAAAGCAGGAAAAAAAAAAACGTTTATAACACAGTTGAAGTTTAACAGTGGATTTGACATAAATGAAAAAATTCACACAGCTCCATTTTGTCATCAATTCAAACAAACAAAACAACAACATAAAACTAACACTGTCTAAAACTTACATCTCTGACTCTACTGAAGTTTTCTCTGTCTTACTATTTCTTACATTTCCTCACAGATTTTATTTTTTTCTAATTCTTTCTCCATTTCCAGGCTGTTTGGAATAAAATGCGCAAAATGCAACCTGGGATTCAGCAGCAGCGATTTGGTGATGAGAGCTCGGGATAACGTGTACCACATCGAGTGTTTTCGGTGCTCGGTGTGCAGCAGGCAACTGCTGCCGGGAGACGAGTTCTCCTTGCGGGAAGAGGAGCTGCTGTGCCGGGCGGACCACAGCCTGCTGCTGGAGAGGAGCTCTGCGGGGAGCCCCATCAGCCCCGGACACATCCACTCCAACAGACCGCTGCACCTGGCAGGTCAGATTATTATTATTATTATTATTATTATTATTATTATTATTATTATTAGCTTCCTATTTATTTTTTTATTGGAATGCTTTATAGGATCACAAAAATTTAAAATTTAACGCAGTGAATTATAAAGCTATAATCCTTAAAAATAAAGCCATTTAAGACATGTATGAAAAAATAATCTCCTAAATATATAAAAGTAAATGTGTGTTAGAAAAAAGATAGACTTTTATGGGTACGTTGGATTAAAAAACAAAATTAAGACCGTCAAACTTTGGTATCTTTTTCTTTGTCCATCCTCTGCATGCTGATCATTTTCTTTGTGGTCAAGCTTGGTGTGTGTGTGTGTGTGTGTGTGTGTGTGTGTGT